TGTTGAATCAATGAAGACGCTACATTAAATGTGGGGGGCAAGGGGCTCATGTTCACCACAGATGGGAGGCCAGTTGGAGAGAAGGTGGCAGGTGGCATAGCCACCTTATACAGCATGCCATACTGGTCCACAGTCAGACCAGTGATGGCCTCAGCTCCATCACCCCCCAGGCTGACTCTGGCTCCTGCCTGGCTCTGCCCTGCCACCACAAGCCCTCGGGACCACTCAGAGACATCACTGGAGGGTGTGTGGTTAGTTGAGCAGCTGGTAGTTCTCCCCATATCCTCGCTGGTCACGGGGAGGTCTCGTTTCTTTGGTGGAAGGCATTCCTGACTCCTCTCATGAACAGGTTTCATATTGCTTTGTGGTGTTCCTGGAGCCTGGAAGGGGTTGGCTTGCTCCTTGGGGCATCAGAAGGGGCTTCTCTGTGGCTCCCCTGAACCCTCTCTGCTGCTGGCTGAGACGCCCACATCTGCTAGGGAACAAATCAGAGGCAAAGTAAAGTAACCTAAGGGAGAACCAAATCAAAGGAAACAGAAGGAACTGTGGCCTCATAGGGAGATGTAACAAAGGAGACTGTTGAAAAAAAGAAAGAGGTATGAGAGAGGGGCAAACAAGGATGCTACCCTCCTTACTCATTCAGCCTAGGATATATATGAAAAAATAGTCACAAAACCACAGAGCTACAAGGACAAGCATTCGACAAAGCATAAATAAACCGAGAGACACCAGCAGCTTCGTGATTAGTTGTGCCTATGATTATTCTCAGCCTTTTCCCTGAAGGATCTGAATACACGGTCAGAGCTGCTGGGCCCTTCTTCCTTTCTCCTTTTGCCGCCAAAGACTACGGTGCTGCCTTCTTTCCTAAACATACGACCTCAACCTCACTTCCTTTCCCCAGCCCAATTTGGGTTATGAACTCACCTATCTCTAGTCCCCTCAGCCCAGGCCTTGTTAAATTCTCGTCCTCCTCTGCCTCAAATCACCACTACCTCGAGGACCCAGGTGTCAGTAAGTCCTCAGATTTGCTTACGTCCTATTTTTATACACCTTGCTCCCTACGCCTTTAGGAACATTAGTACTGTCTTTGCCCTGTGAAATACTACATTCAAATCTGGGCTCTGTGGGGAGGGGATGGCACTAGTGTCCTACGATTTATTTGTTTCTCCTCCTCCCCAAGGAACAACAAAATTCTTCTACTGTTGCACAGACTTCTTTTCCTCACATGAACTACCTTCAGTTTGCCTTCTTCACTCACTCGCTCCCTTTCTTTTTTCTTTTGTTTTGTCAGTGGCTCCTTTTCCACTGCAGGTCTGTGCTAGGCGCCGCTTCCTAAAATTCCAATTCCATTCCTCTGAACATGCGTATTTGTTACTATCTTAGGTCTGAATGGTCAGTAAGAAAGATCTCCCCTTTCTCTTGTTGTCACCTTCCATACATGCTTTTGTCCATTGTCATAAAGTATCTTTTTGGTCTGAACACTTCAGTGCATATGAACTTTGTCACCTATATCTTCCAATCAGGCTCCAGTTCTCTGGATCTGAAAAGAGATTTCTATATTACACTCTGTTCTGTTTTTCCACTGTTGTTGACTTCCAGATTTTTGTTTTTGTTTTTGTTTTTGCAACAAGTTATCCAAAGCACCTACATTACCTGAGCTTTCAGTGGTGGTTCTGAGCAGCTGTAGTGAGCAGTGTCTTTCCGGCTGGCGTGGACGCCTGGAAGTCGGACATAGAAGAAAAGTAAGCAGGAGCCTTGCCTTGACCCCTCTCCAGGGTCATCAAGAAAAGTAACTCTGAAGTTACAAAGACATCAAATTCCTGAGTTCCTGTTTTGTCCTCTTCTTTAGAGGTTAACAGCACATGTATCCTCAGTGCCCGAGCAGTTAAACAGAGGAAAAGCCAGATCTTAAACTCTAATTTGTAGGAAGACATCCCTGGAAAAAAATTTCCATGTCAAATCTCATTGTTTTCTTTAACATCATATTCTTCATTCTCTAGCTGTACCTATTTCCCAAAGGTCAACTTTACTTCCAATCCCAATTTCAGGTAAATGTACAAATAAAGTGGAAGACTCAACATTGTTTCCATGTGAACCAAGGGAAGCAGGAAAAATGAACTTCACAGATTTCATTTTTATTCAGGGCTGATGAAAACACGGTTGTGGAGGTTACTTAAATGAGAAAAGCAGCACTAGAGGAAAAAGAGCGATTATTTATGTTTCTGGGGCAGAAAAAGAGGTCAAGGGGGAGTCACTCAAGGGGAAGCCTTATTAACAGATTTTCAGAGTGAAAATAAAGGTCTCCCCTCTGTGTGTAAAATTTTGTGAGTGACAACTTTGTACCGAGTGCCGAATCAGGTAAGACATTCCCTTCAGGGAATGTCAATTTAAAACATTCCCTTGGTTCTCGTGTAGCTAACAATGGGCAACAAAACTTGTGCTAAATTATCAATATCTGAATCCACACATGCCAGAAACATCAAGCACTGAAGAACAGAGTTTTAATCTCTGAAAACAGAAAAAGCAGGACTGACCAGTACTCTTGAGAAGCTACCCACTGTCCTGTCCAAATCCCAGAGAACACCGCAAGCCTCAAACCAAACTAAAGGCAACGTTTATCTCTTGAGATTGACAAGGTGCAGACGTACCCAAAAAGGTGATGAGAGAAAAACAAGGTGGGAAGTAAGTCCTCATTCCACAAACACAAATTACACAGCAGGCACAAGTCCTGTATTCCTTTGCTGGTGCTTCCAGCAAATGAAAAGCAGTTAGCTTTCTTCATCATTCTCACAAAAAATGGGGGTCCCATCTTCAGCCCTAGAATAATTCTTGCTTCCTGCAACTAACACATTAAAGAAAACCTGCCTCTAGGTCACTGAAGGGTTAGCCAAACACAAGCTAATAAAAGGACCGAAAGAGGCAAAAGGTCTGCGGAATGACAACAAAGAGCCAAGCCTGTGTACCAGGTTCCCACAACGCAAAACACATTTCGGAACCTGAAACCTCAGGCTCTGGAGGGGCTCGATGAGGGTTTCAAAAGGAGAAGACGTAGCTTGCTACCCTAACCGAGCTAACGGGGAAGAGGGATGTTCCAGAGAGTTGCCAGCGCTGCCAGCAGAACCAAGGAATCAAAAAGCTGAACCCTGCTAGAGATCAGGATTCGGTGAAGGCGAGAGGTGCGCCCGCCAGAGAGGAGGTCGGAAGATACTAGGGGTTCTGGTTTCTTGTGATCTCGCAATCTTTGCTCCAAAAAGGATAGGGCTCGAAATTGGGAATTCAACGTTTAGAGAGTGGTGGCGGGGGGTCGACCCTCCAAGCAGAGGAGCAGGGGCTAGCTAGGGTCCGCAGGTGATGCTTCCTTGTTTGGGGGCCCCTTCCCGCCCCAAGCACTCGGACACTCCGGCCAGTGGGGACAGAGCCGCGGGGTCACCGGAGACCGAGACCACCCTCTGGACTGGGTCAGAGAGAAGTGCGCGGGGGTCTAGGCGCGGCCTCTCGCTCGCTCGGTCCGCGGTTCGAGGGGGCAACGGGGTCCGGGGGGCCACTTCCTCCGGAGCTCTGAGCCCAGGCCAAGCAGGCCTCAGTGAGGCCGGCCAGGCGGCCCCCACTCCCGGCGACACTCACCGGCCCATCTCACGGCGCTCTTCGGGCTCCTCCCGCTCGTCCCGGAGCCGCCGCTATAGCGGCCGCCGCCATCCCCGGCCCCGGAGCCGCCCCACACCCAGCACCCCCACCCCCGAGTCGGGCGCCCGGAGATGACGTAACGCGCGCCCCGCCCCCGGCGCGGGGCGATGGCGTCATTCCTGGGCCGGAGAATGACGCCCAGGAGAACCCGCGGGGAGGGTGGGTTCGACACCGGCGAGTGGCCGTCGGCGCCCGCTCCGAAGGAAAAGTGAAATCTTACCACTGAGTCACGCGAATAGGGCTGAGCCGGGACCCTTCACCTTGATCCCTCAATGACTCCGCAGTCTTTCCACTCCAGGATATTCTGGGGGTTCCTAAGCAGAGCTCTGGGGCATGGCGGTCAGCCACCCTCATTGCCTGCTCTTCCTGGGTCTGATTAATGAAGCCTCCTTTTGGGAACCTCAAGGAATCCCGAGGCCACCCGATCCCAGGAGAGTAAGGAGATCCCTCTGGAGCCCAGGGGTGAAGATGGGAGCTCTATGTGAATTGAGACAGGCCTCTGAGGGAGAGGAGGATGGACCAGATCCAGGATCTAGGGGAAGGTGAAAGAAGTAGTGGGAGACTCAAAGTCTGAAAAGTTAGAGGAAGAGGTTTAGTACAGTGGGAAGCAGCTTAGTTTGGTGGAAAGAGGGCTTGCCTACTTGATGAAATATTAGGTCTCAATTCGTTGCCCGTTGAGTCAACTTAATAGTAACATGAACTTATGTTAACTGAAAAAAAATTACCATTTGAATTTGTGCTTCCATTACACCTATGTAAAAAAAAAAAAAAACTTCTGCAAACTAAAAAACAAACTAACTGAGAATCAATAAGTTTAACTGTTGGAGAGATTGAATTCTGAGTGTAGTTTTTTCAGTTTCTGCAAACTGTTCAATAAATAATTTTCGTCTGATTTTAAAAGTACTGGCTGTGCTCTGGTACCTATTCTGTAGCTATCTAGCCTTAGGAAAGTCATTTTACTACTTTAGATTTGGGTTTACTACTTTAGATTTAGATTTAAACTAAATGAAGGTGTGGGAGTAAAATGTAGATTGAAGAGATCTTTAAACATTTTAAGTGAAAAAAATAAAAAATGTACATCATCATAGTTGCATATATTTTTGTACCTACAGAAAAGAAGTGAAAGGACGTGTAACAGTTAACATTGGTTATCTTGGGAGAGAAAAGTGGAATTGGGTGGTAGCCAAAGGGAACAAAAGGGACTTATTGTTTGGATTTTCTTAAGAATATTATCTTAGAAATATTAAAAGGAGTAATTTAAAATGCAAATAAGGTATATGACCTCTAAGATTCTTTTAAGGCAATTCTTAGATCTCAATTTTGATATTTTTTCACCTTGATGGGCACAAAGAATCATCAAAATTATTAAACTCCAAACACACGCACCAGTGGGTGAAACATAGTGAAGCTTCTGATCTGTAGCCTTCTGAATCAAAGGGCTTTGCTTCATGAACATTAATATTATTCATGATAGTCACCTTCCTTCTCTGTTTGGCCAAACAGGAAGTCCTGTGGTCTTTTTTCTCGGCGATTCTGTTTTAGCACTAACTGGCATTCTGGATTCTAGTTCATTGCTTAGCTTGCTCACTGGTGTTAAAACTACAAAACTGACAGACACCCTTGAACCATCCAGGTGTACTCAAGGATAGCCAATTTCTCCCAGATCAAGGTACACAGTCATAGATCTGCTTTTCAGGCAAGGTTGAAAGAACAAACACAGGTGGATGCAAGCAAAAAAGGGTTTTTGACTACCATCCATCAACACAATTACGTGGTGCAAAGGCGTGTCTCATTAAAAAAATAAAAACAGGACGTTCTGATTGGTGAAACAGGTGATTTCCTGGTTTGGTGCTGCAGACCCAGGAGGGTGGGTCATATCTCCGCTGTGTCCTGTTTTCAGAAGTCTTTGCTCCAAGCCATCCTGATTTCTTTGGTTGTACATACTAATGGTAGGAAATGCCAGGGTGTCAGTTTGACAGGAACATTAGTGATAAGTAAACTAACATGGTTTCTAGATTTAAGACACTAAAATAAGTTACCTTATTTTTCTAAAAATCTATTATTCTCTAGTATCTGGATAATTATTTAAGTTATTTATACTAAGTAAACTCGGGTCTTAAACACTGTGACTGGCTCAGGAAATAGTTGTTGAATGTCCCAAAAATATCCCACGTGGGGAAGCTGCCCTTTGTAAATCTTTTGCCCCCATTTCCTCACTTCTCCTCTCATCTGGTTAACCTGTTTGCTCTCTGTTTTCAGTCTCATCTGAAAGTCCTTCATTTTATGTCACCGAGTTTTGTTGTGTTTTTTTTTCCGCAGAGTTTTAAGAACTGATGAACCAAAAGGAGATTTTTAAAGGTATTTGGGATATTTGGGGAATAAGGGGTTAAGCTTCAATGTTTTTTCCATCTCTTTTCTTTCCCTGGATTCCTACTGAATTCCTCTGATGCATGTAGATTGGATTGGTGCAAAGGGAGAGCTTGAGCTGCCCTGTTGGTAGGAAAACAACCACCCAACCCTGCCTTGCTAGTTATTCTCCTTGAGCAGGCAGGAGTTTCAAACCAGATCTCTGTGTCACCTGTTTCCTCTTCGTGGTTTTTCCTGACCTGTACTACAGGCAGGGAAAGCTCAGACAGCAGTCCAGCTCTCCCAGCTTTCTATTTGATGTTAAGGGATCAAACCAGAGAGAATTTACTGGTAACTTGGGAAAGCATGTGTTCGTAACAAGGGGAGGAGGTGGCGTTTTTCCTAGTCGCATGTTCCTGCTTGTATGTTTCAGTGTGTAAAGGTATCATTTTAGGAAAGGAATTTCATCTTTGAATACCAAAGGCAGAAAACAACAAACCTCAAGCATACACTGAAAGTATCCAAATACTTAGTAGATTTAGCTTTCCCTGGGAACATATTCACATCTGGCATTAGATTATTTTTCAAAAGCTTTTCTAGACGTCCAAATGTAGAAATGTGTCATTTTTAAGTTTGTGTTTTATCTACTTTTCTGAACAATTCTGTGTCCTCATTTCCACATGCTTTTAATGTTGTGTGATCTCTTCTGATGGGATTTTCCTTTCAAATGCATTAATATTTTATTTAGAAGGAGGTCTTATAATTTCTCCATATGTGACTAGTATGTCCTTTGAGGAGGGGAATCTCCCTTTGTTGTTTGCTTCCTCAGACACTGGCTAAAGACTTTCACGTCTGTCAGCAACTTCCTGCAGAATTCTCAAAAATTTCAGTAAAACCACTGACTATTGAAATAACCTAGAGGAAACCTAACCCCTACTTGAATTGCAAGAGTCATATCTGGGGGGTGTCTGCTCCACAGAGAAGCAAGTGCACCCGGGCCATTACTAAGCAGTCAGGGGTTCATTGCATGGGGCTTGTTGAATGAATAAAATGGATGTTGAGAAACCACAGCTTCCTTAACACTGACAGCTATCTCTTTCTCTGGGAAACTTCCTCAGAGTTGCTGTGCCTTGTGATAAAATCATGTTCAGTTCTGCCTTCAAAGCTGATCGCCTTCGGGCCAACTTGCAACTGGCTGTCAGTCACCTAAAACTCCTGGAGAGAAAGAAAAGTGAGTAGTGATACTCCAGGCAGCCCAGCCAGCTGCCTCTCGGATCTCTGCGAAATCTTCTCACCACTGCCCCCAGCCCAGGGCCATATCTCCTAAGACCTTCCTCACCAGCTTTGGAATTTTAAATAATATTTTCGACTGGTGGGAATGTGGGAATGATTATTATAGTGATCAAGTCATTTATAAATGTCCAAAGACACTTCTGTATCTTGACTGAATTGATATCGACATGGTGGTTTTGCAAGATGTTACGGCTGGGGAACACTGAGTAAAGTGTACTCTGGATCTCTCTGTGTTACTTCTTATAAACTTCATGTGACTCTACAATGATCTCAAAATTAGAAGTTGAATTTTTAAAACATATTTCCAAAGGTTTAAAATGCAAAACAACGTCCCAATTACTGGACTTCTCTCCACTGAGGCAGAGAACTTTATCTAGTCAAACTGTATTCAAATGTGCAGTAGCTATTAAGTTTGAGCTTCCAGGCAAATTTTCCTGGAAGGGTTTCCTTACCCTTTTTCAAACAGCCAACCCTCCCCCCACCCCAGTGCTGTTTCTTCTGCCAGGTGGCAGCTCAAGTGTATTACATTCATGCAGAGAGGGAATAGGTGTTGTCTTCCTTAAGTCCAACTTATTTTCTATTGCCTTTTGCTTTCTCCTCATTCCAGTGGGTGACAGGAATGATAAACTTCTCAATGAACTGAAAAACTGATGATTTCTGATTATGAGGGGGTTTCAGGTGAAATAACTATTGCCTGTAAATGCATTTTCTAAGCGCTCTGTAAATGGTACTATTTACTATTGAATTACTAAAATCTATTGGTAGAGAGGGTGGTTACTCAAACTTCCAAATTGATTCTGGCTCACTTAGCCAAGTGTTGGCAGAGGATCTTTGGGCATTACTTAGATGATAGGGTCTTAAGGAAAGTACCCAAAATAAATAAAATTTAGGCAAACCCTGTGTTTCCCATCTTGTTACCATGAACGGTGAGGATGATATTGATGATGTATATGGAACTTGTGAGCTTTAAAATGCATGCCTACATGTTCCTTAAAAAAAATTTTTTTGGGCCCTGGCTGATATAGCTCAATGGATTGAGCACAGGCTGCAAACCAAAGGGTTGCCAGTTTGATTCCTAGTCAGGGCACATGCCTGGGTTGCGGGGCAGGTCCCCAGTGGGGGACCAAGTGAGAGGCAACCACACACTGATGTTTCTCTCTCTCTTTCTCCCTCCCTTCCCCTCTCTCTAAAAATAAATAAGTAAAATCTTTTAAAATTTTTAAAAATAAAATTTTTTGTTTATTTATTTTTAGAGAGAGGAGAGGGAGAAAGAGAGGGAGAGAAGCACCAATGCATGAAAGGTGTTTCCCGAATTTCCTGATCGGTTGTATCTCACATGCCCCCAACCAGGACCTGGCCTACAACCCAGGCAGGTGCCCTGACCTGGAATCAAACTGGAAACCTTTTGGTCCACAGGCCAGTGCTCGGTCCACTGAGCCACACCTGTTAGTGCCCTACATGTTCTTTTATTTGATCCTCATAATCTAGTGACACATCTTATTAACCAGACAAATTTTATACTCTTTTTACAAATGGAGAAATTTCAACATGAAGTGCCTGAGTGATCTGAGATAAATAAAGCTAATGGATTCTGTCTTACCTGAATTGATTGCTTTTAAAAAGGAGATGATAATCTTGACCTTCCAGGGTTCTATTTGTAACACAGACTATAAGTTGGACACACAATAAATGTTTGTTGTTATTAGTATTGATGTAATAGCAGTTTAGCATTTATCTGAAATAAGTCCAGCTTTCCTGTAATTTCTTTTCCCCTCAATGTCTAGGGCAAAGAACATTGCCCCATCCTGGACTTGGCTAAGCAACCTTCCAAGCACTGAGGTTTATGTGTATTTTTCAGATTCAAATATAGTTTCATATAAAGATTTCTTTGCAATGACAGAGTAACTGTCTATTCATGATGACACGGTGAGCATCAATTTTAGGGTATGGCAGACAGACAGAGTATATAATTAGGAGGTTCAGGTTTTCCCGACTTGTGAAAAGCCTATTTTCCCAGGCTTGGTCATTAGTTGATAAGTCAAAGGAATAAGACATTACTTGTGGCAGTGGATGACAAATGGGACAGGTCACAGTTGTTACGTCTCCTGCATGACTCTACTTGTTCATTTTACCATGTAACGTAGTAGAAAAACATAGTTATGTGCAAGTCTGAAGATGTGGCCTTAATTTTCAATTCAACCAGCTACTTGAAGTCATGTGACCATGGGAAAGCCACTTTACCTCCCAGAGTCTCAATTTTCTCAGCTGTAAAATGCACATCACATATAAACCTCACACAGGTGGTGTGGGGATCAAACAGCGTTGTGTATATGAAAACATTTTCCAAAATGCATAGCATGACATCATTCTCCTTTTTCAAATAACTAATCTTTTTATTACAAAAACAATGAATGTTCACTATAGAACATTTTAGAAAATAAAGGTGAGCTGAAAGAATACAATAAAGATCACCAGTCCAAGCACCCCCTGCAGCAGTGGTTCTCAGCCTGTAAAAGGGGTCAGAATCCAGAGGGCTGGTTCAAACACCGAGTGCTGGACTCTACTTCCAGAGCTTCTGATTCAGTATTGCTGCGGTTGGCTCCAAGAATCTGCAGTTCTAACTAGTTCCCAGGTGATGCAGCCGTTGCTGATCTGGGGATGATGCTTTGATGACCACTGAACTAATGTGATACACTGAGCACTTTTATGCATCAATGGTATACCTTAAGTGTGTGTTTTTGTTTGGTTATTAGTTTTTATAAAAACATTATTTCACACTACTGTGCAACCTGCCTTTTTATTTAACAAACTGCTCTTTGCATATTTAGTTTTCTATGTGTATGCTTTGTACTGCAGCTGAGCAGGCCCAGAAAGCAAGGAAAGAGATTGCTGACTACCTGGCTGCTGGGAAAGACGAGCGAGCTCGGATCCGAGTGGAGCACATTATACGGGAAGACTACCTCGTGGAGGCCATGGAGATCCTGGAGCTGTACTGCAACCTGCTGCTGGCCCGGTTTGGCCTAATCCAGACCACAAAGTGAGACCTATTGAACTTGATTATTTTTCAGGCTCAAAGGAGTGACAGGACATCGCTACCACCTGGTGAGGGAGAGGGTGGGCTTTAACTTGTCCGGACTGTGTCAGAGTAGTTTGTGTCTGCTTGAACAGAATATGACAGTCCAAAGAGCCATTTTTAAAAACCAAACAGATGGCTTTTTTATTGCTGTAGATAAATTGAAAAATACAAAGTATTTTGTGTCTGCTTGAGGAAATATGGCAGTCCAAAGAATCATTTTTATAAAAACCGAATAGATGTCTTTTTTCTTACAATACAAAAATTGGACAGGAGGAGAGTTATGGAGGGGAAATGGGGACTACTGTAATGAACAATAAAAAAATGAAGAGAAAAGTTGGAGAGGGACTTCCGCCAAGATGGAGGCGTAGGTGGAAACACTTTGCTTCCTCGCACAACCAAATCTAAAAATAATAAAGTTTTAACAACAATAAACGCAACCAAACCACAGAAAACCGAACAATCGGAGTCTGAAAACAACGAACCGCTCAGCTAAACCAGTGAGAGTGGTGAAGCCAGCAGTGGAGCGGGTCAGGCAGAAAAGATCCCCCAACCCGGGCGGTGCACAGGCAGCGGAGGGTGCGGATCCTAGGTTCGGGGTAGCTACAGGCAGACCCAGGGAAGGCACAGCGCGGTGGGCTGTCTGTGGTTGCGCATTTGTGTGCAGATAAACCAGCGAAGAGACAAACTTGAGACAGACCGCGCAGGCCCCAGCGCAGGGCAGCGGGCTCACATATTTGCACTCAGGTAAACTGGTTGGGGTGAGTGGAGAGGACTGCCATTGCTCCCTCTCTGACCCCGCCCCCACATACAGTGTCACAAACCAGCGACCTGGGTGGCCCCCCCCTGGTAAACAACTAAAGCTCTGCTCCTCATACCTAACAGGCACAAACAGATCAAAACATGGCTCAACAGCAACTCAGAGCCCCAGAGCCAATAAATCTAAGCGATGAAGAAATAGCCAAATTTCAAATGCACAGTTCAAAACACTGGTGATCAGGATGCTCACAGAACTGGTTGATTTTAGTCACAAATTAGAGAAACATATGAAGGCTAAACTAATTGAAATGAAGGGAAATACACAGGAAACCAAAAGTAATGGAAAGGAAACTGGGACTCAAATCAAGGGAGCAGACCAGAAGGAAGGAAAAAATGACCAAACAGAAAAATATGAAGAATCAAGAATTCAAAAAAATGAGGAGAGGCTTAGGAACCTCAGGACATCTTTAAACGTTCCAACATCCGAATTATAGGAGTACCAGAAGGGGAAGAGGAACAGTCACGAGTGGAAACCTTATTTGAACAAATAATAAAAGAGAACTTCCCCATTCTGGCAAAGGAAATAGACTTCTAGGAAATCCAGGAAGCTCAGAGAGTCCCAAAGAAGTTGGACCCAAGAAGGAACACACCAAGGCACATCATAATTACATTAGCCAAGATTAAAATGAAGGCGAGAATCCTAGAAGCAGCAAGAGCTAAGGGGACAGTCACCTACAAAGGAGTTCCCATCAGACTGTCAGCTGAGTTCTCAAAAGAGACCTTACAGGCAAGAAGGGTCTGGAAAGAAGTATTCCAAGTCATGAAATCCAAAGACCTGCAACCAAGATTGCTCTATCCAGCAAGTTTTCATTTAGAATGGAAGGACAGATAAAGTGCTTCTCAGATAAGGTCAAATTCAAGAAGTTCATCATCACCAAGCCCTTATTATATGAAATGTTAAAGGGACTTACCTAAGAAAAAGAAGATAAAAAAGATGAACAGTGAAAGGACAGCAAACCACAGTTATCAACAACCACACCTAAAACAAAAGCAAATTAAGAGGACAGCTAGATCAGGAGTGAACCATAGAAATGAAGATCACATGGAGGGTTAGCAACAGGGGAGTGGGAGAAGGAGAAGGGGGGAGAAAGTACAGAAAATAAGTAGCATAGACAGTAGATAGAAAATAGATAGGGGGAGGGTAAGAATAGTAGGGGAAATACAGAATCTAAAGAACTTGAGACACGTGTTCCTGAACTAAAGGGGGGGGATGGTGGAGGAGGGGTGTGCAGGGTGGAGGGGAATGAAGGGGGGGAATCGAACAACTGTAATGGCATAGTCAATAAAATAAAAAGATATATTTTTAAAAAGGAAAGAAAAGTTGGAAAATACAGACAAAAAGAATCCATAATCACCAAATCTGGAGATAAGAATTTTTGGTATATCTCCTTTCAGTTTATATATGTATATTGATATGTATTTCTGTGTGTATAAACATACACATGTATGTGTGTATATATATATATACTTTAATATACCTATATGTACATAGAAGTTTATATTCTAATTTCAGTGTAAAATGTTTTATTTCGACATTATCTTTTTCACACTGTCCATGGGCTGCCTTTGAAATGGGGAAAAGGGGGGAACAGAAAGCCCTGATTTTCATAATCGTGTGCTTTCCCTAGGGAGCTGGATTCCGGTCTGGCTGAATCTGTGTCTACACTTATCTGGGCTGCTCCTCGACTCCAGTCGGAAGTGCCTGAATTGAAAATAGTGAGTTTGATGAGTTTTAACTGCCTGTGCTATGGTTGTAAATGAGGGTATCCCTAATGTGACTCATTTAGACTTGTAGGATTACTTGGGGGGGGGTTCTTTCTTTTCATAAAGGATAACCAAAAAAAGTTTTTTCTTCTGTTAGTCTTTAAATGAAAAATAAATATTGTTTTTAATGACAATGGTGGGGTGGTGGGGAACATTACCTAACAAAACCCCCAAAACTTGAAACTGTATTTCTTTTGTGGGAGAAGGGGTATCATAATTTACAAGGTGTTTAGAATGAGAGGTTTTAAGTTTTACATTTATTAGATACTTAAAAATTAAACAAAGGGCTTATTTTATTTTTAATGCTGTTCGATGTTAAAAGAATGTGATTCCATTGAGGAAACATGAAAGTGATTTTTGCTCTCAGTGATTCTTTATCTAAAGCAAATCTGCCATAACGTAATCAATTTTGCCTATGTTTCTTTCCTGGTGATGGTTTACTGCAGGTATCTAATCAGCTGTGTGCAAAGTACAGCCAAGAATATGGTCAACTGTGTCGAACCAGTGAGATTGGAACTGTCAGCCCTCGGGTAGTACCATTTCCAGAGACACATATTCTTTGAAACCAAGAAGTCTGGGAAAAGCTGAGAAAACTGAAAGCATATAATTCTGTGCAGAATGAAAGATGTGTAGAAGTAATTTTTGCCTTGGAGGTAGAGAGAGTTGGATAAAGATCTTAAATTAGGGAACTCGGTTCTTTCAAAGGGAGTCACATATATGGTGACACATGGAAACTAGACTTTTTGATGGTCAGGATGCTATAATGTATACAGGTATCGAATTATCATGTTCTACACCTGAAACTTGTCTGTTATTAGCCGATGTTACCTCAATTAAAAAAAAACGAGTCAAGAAAACTGAGCTGATTTTTTCTTAAGAAAACATACATTTTCTTAAATGTAACTGGCCTAGTAGTAGAAAAGATGTTAATGAAACTTTGAAGTTTCAACTTTTGAACATCTTACATAATTCAGGACTGACATTCAGCTGGCCACAGAATTCTGGCTGAAGTAGCTGGTTCAGGCTGGTGGACATTCTCCTCATTCAGGGTATCCATTCTAATTGGTTAGTGCCTCACTGCACTGGTTGTTGTATATGTTGAATATCACCTCTGACATAATTCAAATACTTATCATGAAGTCAGAAAATATTTTCCTTATGTTTATTTTCTTCCTCTTACTCTATTTGGTTTGAGGGGCCTTCACCCCAGGAAAGGGCTGTCTTAGGATACAAGGAGGATTCCCTCCTTGTTGTTGCCAAGGTAATTATCCTTCTACAATCGTACATCTTAAATAACAGTGACTAGAAAGATGAAGAACACTGATGCAGAAGTGAAAGACCAGCTAAACTCTTTCTGCTTCTTATTTTGTAGGTGTGAGTGTGACCAACTTGGTTATGTTCTTTATTTTACAGCTCATGTGTAAACTAAATGTGGACACTCTGCCCCAGGTTCTAGTGGAACGGTACCTGATAGAAATTGCTAAGAACTATAATGTGCCATATAAATCCAAGGCAACAATTATGGTGAGTACTTTCAAAAAGGGAGACTTGATTTAAAGCTGAGATTTCTCTTGTGCACTAGGAGATTTTTTTTTTTCTACTTAGGAATGTGGCTCTCAGGATAGCTATGTCTGTCAGGATTGTAAATCAGGTAGTTTGTACCTTTTGTCTGCCCACATACTTTTCCTAACAGAGTTTGACTTCTGATAACTATCAGATGACCCTTCTACGTTGTTAACAGTGAAATGGAAAAGAAAGGTGAAGGTACCTAAAGTGTTATATACAGAAGTGTGAAAAACAGTTTTAGTGCTTAAGAGCTCAACTTTATCCTGTGGATATGTTATATTTTAATAAAGGGATCTTTATTAAAGATCTAGAACACAGGTTACAAGATCTAAAGGCACAAGGCACTATCATTTAGTCTTGCTTAAGGGTGTTAAGTTCAGTAGTGAAATGACCCATATTCAGATCCTAGCTCCTCCTTTTACTAATCGTGAGATCTCAGGCAAGTTGACTTAGTCTCTCAATGACTCAGTTCTCTGCACTGTAAGAAGGAGGATAAGGCCCTGGCTGGGTAGCTCAGTTGGTTGGAACATCATTGCAATATGCCAGGGTTGTGGGTTCCATCTCTGATCAGGGCACATACGAGAAGCAACCAATAAATGCATAAACAAGCAGAACAACAAATTGATGTTTCTCCCTCTCTTTTCCTTTGTCTAAAATCAATAAATAAAAGGAGGGGGATAATAATAATTAATGGTTATTAACAGATCTAAGTTTCTTGAGATGATTAAATGCTCTAATTAACATGTACAAGGAATTTAAATGCGATGCTGGCCCATCACGAATGTCATGAAGTTTTGCTCTTTATCATCATCATTGCCACAGAGGATGCATTAAGCTTCCAAAAGGTGGTCAGCGACTATTTTAGGGCCAGAGGGTATCTCCCTAACGTCTCTCAAATCATCTCATATGGGGAGTGACTTATTTTAGCAATTGATAAAGTTATCTCTGTTAACTTCTTTTTTTAATTTGTTGATTTTAGAGAGAGAGAACATTGATTTCTTATTCCACTTATTTATGCATTCACTTGGTTGCTCCTCGTATGTGCCCTGACTTGGGATTGAACCTACAACCTTAGCATATTGGATAACACTCTAACCCACTGAGCTGCCTGGTCAGGGCTCTGGTAACCTCTTTATAAAAGATGTCCCTGCACTCACGTGCCAAACTTGTGCTTAGTGCAGGCATGAAGCTACAAGGGAACTCTGTTCCGTCCTGTGTTCCCACACTGCTGCCTTCCATTTGATGGGACAGCATGTACCACACTGGGTTGGATTAAGGGTCACACTTGTCTTTTCTGATGCTGTGCTCCTGATGGTTTCCTGATAGGGACTCTTGTCCATTTTTTCTTTTTCTAAAGAATTATATAGCTTGTTGAAAAATGATGTATTGTGAATATCTAGATAATACCAAAAGGGACTGTGAAGAAGTAAAAGCCACCTGAAATACCAGTAGAGATGTTGCCAAGGGCTCAGCCTTGGACCTCTGCTCTTTCTTCTCTACTCTTTAGGTGATTTTATCCAACATCATGGTTTTCAACACCATTTTCGTGGGGAGGACTTCTACACATATATCACTAGCTAAGGCTTCCAAGCTGATATGAACTCCAGACTGATATGTACACCCGCCTTCTTGAAATCTTTTCTTGGATATTTCAGAAACACTTCAAATTTCACATGTCTAATAGTGCTCTTACCCTTTTCAAGAGCCCACTCCTTCTACAGTTAATCTGTGTGAGGGCAAGAATCTTAATGTCTTCCTCGACTCTCCCCTTTCTCACAACTGCTGGCCCCCAGACAATCTTCGGCAAGTCCTACCTTCAAAATATATCCACAATTCTGCCACTTCTCACCATCTTCGCTGACAGTACCCTGGCCTAACCTGCAATAATATCTTCCCTGGATGGTTCAAGAGCCTGTTAAGTGGTTTTTCTGCTTCTCTACTCTTATTCCTCATTTATTGATGTTCAATATTGCCTTCAGAGATGTGGTTAATATCGCCTAAGTCAGATCTTTTCACACATCTGCTTTTAAATCCCCCAGTGGCTTTTTATTTCACTTAGAATAATAGGCAACGGCTTCACTGTGACTGAAGAGGCTGCCCATACCTACTCTCACCTCTTCTCTCTGGCCTCATTCCTTCCACTTTCCCCCAGTTTACTCTGCCTCGGCTACACTGTCTGCTGACCTCCTCATGCTTTTTCATACACACACAGCTGACTCCCACCTCAGGGCCTTTGTACCTCCTGTACTCTGTGTTCTCTACTATCTGCCTGGCTCCTCCCTCACTTCCTTCAGTATGAGGCCCTTACTGGCTATTGTTTCTAAACTGTCCACCTCTTCCCTTTTCTCTGCTTTATAATTTTTCTCCATCATTCCTATCTTTATCTAACACACTATGCAGTTCACTTAGTGATCTCATTTATTATCTGTGTTCCCTACTGGAATATCATTGGCTACAGGAGCACAGGGACTTCGTTCTGTTTCGTTTATTGTACCGTCCCCTGTACTGTGCCTGGTTTATATTAGGTAGTCAATACAGTTTGCAAATGAGTGAGTAAATCCAGTGTTTACCACTGTGAAGATTTGCTAAACTTTCTTGGAGACATCTCTATGAATATTTATGTCTAGCTCTTAATCATTGGTGTACCAGTGTGTGACCTCAGACACTCAGAACACAGTCATTGAACCAGAGACAAAGAGGTGTGAGGGCCAGAAAGCCTGAAGGTTACTTTTAACTGTCATTGACTTACACTAGACTCACCGCTTCGTGAGGGCAGGAAACGTGTCTCCTTTGCACGGTTTTTTCCCCAGTGCTTTCCAAGAGTGTTTGGCATGTAGTAGGTATGCAATAAAAAATGCGTAATAAATTGAGAACCCAATATTATTCTTACCCTGTTGTTTCAGTCTGAAGCCCCAGCAGACCTGGTTAGTGTTGGATTTACTGATGATGTCAAGCAAGGTGCCCATGGCAGTGGAGGTGGAACTGTAGCTGGACCTGGTGATCCACTTCAGGCATTGCCAGTATGGCCCTTACCTGTGCCGTCCTCAGTTCCTGGTCCCTCATCCCTTCCTCGTGAAAGACAGGTCTGTATGGCTAAGGATACTGAATCTGAAATGATGCTCTAAGTACTGCTAGAAAGTACTTCTACATGGGTCTTTTGGATGGTAAAATGATCTTTGTGAAGTTTTCCAGGCCAGGGCATATTTGTAATAATTAGCTTATAACTGATGTGTTTTTATGCTGAATTCATGAGACTAGGGCTACACACAGCTTTTCATGAACTGCTTGACAATACCACAGTATAGACTACAAAGAACACTTGTATGAGCTGAACACATCTGGAAGTCTTGAATCTACAGTGATTTAGACTCAAGTTTCAGATTAGATATATTCAATTTATATGTAGTGAGAACAGTTTACTCTCATGTTGAAAATAGGATAAAAATCTCATAACTGTGTACATACACAAATCTAGAGAAGTCAGGTAAGTAAAAACTAAAGAGCCCTAGACATTAATCTTCTTTACTCTTTGTTCCTTCAGTATGAAGCAAAACCAAATTGTGTCATTCTTTTCATTTCTGACCCCATAAAGTTCTTTTTTAAAGATTTTGTATTTCAGGTATAACTTAATTCTAATTTTCCTTGTTGAAATTATTTGTCTGAATAACACCTTGTGTCTTACTCAGCTTCTGCTTTTGGAGTGCAAGTTCTCTGATTTAAAAATAAAACAAAGAAAACTTTATGGAAAATTTAAACATATTCAAAATTAGAATGATACAATAAACTTTCACATGTGCATCACTCATTTTTGACAGTTATCAATATTATGCTGTTCTTATTTCATCTATTTCTTCCTAATGTTCTGAAAGGATTTAAAGCAAATTTCAGACATTATATAATTTCACCTGTAAATATTTCTCTATATATTTTTAACATATACCCTTTGTTTTTATTGATTATTTTTTATTAAAGATTTTATTTATTTACTTTTAGAGAGAGAACATCATGTGCGAGAGATACATTGATCAGTTACCTCTCACACGCCCTCAACTGGGGACCTGGCCCGCAACCAAGGCATGTGCCCTGACTGGGAATGGAACCAACAACATTTTGGTTTGCAGACTGACACTCAGTCCACTGAGCCACACCAGCCAGGCCCCCTTTGTTTTTATAATATAAAATAATGTCTTTATGGTAGCCAACACAATGAAAAATAATTTCTTAATATTGTATAATACTCAATCCAAATTAAATTTCTCTAATTTTCTCAAAAATGCATTTTTACAGTTATTCTGTTGAATTCATATCCCAAAAGATCCATGCATTGTATTTGGTTGATGTATCTCTTAAATCTTTTCATCTCTAATATTTCCTTCTTCCCACTTCATTGTTTTTTCTTGCCACTTATTTGTTGGAGATAGAGTCCTCTGATTTTATTAAAGTGAAGTGTTTTTTCACAAGTAGTCTCTAGGTTCAAATATAAAGGATTCCTTGATTCTTGTATGAGGCCATATGTGACAGAAGAAGCCAAACCCATAGTCATTCCTGAGGCTGATTTCCAGAAGGTGGAAAAACCCTCATCTCAAACAAGAAGGAAGCTTGATTGTGACAAAGTTCACTTAAGTTAATTTTAAGAACTATTTCTTTAAGGCTTACTATGAAAAAATATGTTGGAAACTCAAACCAGTTGCTTCCCAGTGATTTTTTTCTTTCAGAATGACTCCTATCGGAACAATTTGCTTCCTATACTGGTTCCTGGTAAGTACAGGGAATTCTGGAAATAGTTGGTAATATTGCTTGATATTCATTAAAGATATTTCTGTTGTTCTAAGACAAGTCATTCCTCCATTGGTGGGAGGAGTTTATTAGTGATTTACTAGGATGACAGTATGTTCACTTGTAGTAGCTAAGTAGTAGTTTGGAAAGTTGATAAGGGTCTGAAACATCTTTAATTCAAAAAAAGTTTTAAAACCACTACTATACTAGATCATCCTATCACATGTTTTGAAAAATTGTGCCCTTTAAGAAAATCAGACCACCCTTGTAGAAGATTACTATCACAATGTATTACCACCATTTCCATGTTGGGGGAATGGTCTAGTTTTCCAGCCATACTATGTACTGTTCTTTCAATAACAATAATAGCCTATTGTTTTTAAGACAGGAATTTCATTCTGGAGTACATATTGGTGTGATTTTTTTTTTAAATCACATTTTTTGAAATGAATAGGTCCTGGACCCACCCCTGAAACTTCTCCAAAGGCAGCATCAAGAACCAAGATTGGTTTCGATAACTTTATGCCTGATTTGCCTGATGTAAAACCTCAAGCAAGCGTTTCCATTGACCCTTATGATTCGGAGGAAGTTGATTTTGAAGATCTCGACCGGAGACTTGAAATGCTGAAGAAAGCCACATAATTCCTTAGTCCTAGATTGAGTATTTGCCTGGGACTTAGGGCTCTTGTGCACAGATTTTAATATGGCCATTGATGTGTCTGTCTGAAGTTTTCTCATTTAGAATTCCTTTCATCTCTTAAATCATGTGGTTCTCTGTCTGTAATAATGTGTATATGTCTCTCTTCGTGTGCATATACATATGATCATATAATTATTCCTGTTTCTTGAAATTCTATAATTCTTTGATGAACATTCATGACCTACAGAGTTTTATTAATTTTAGTCAATAAACTTTCATTTTCTCTCAGATTCTCATTTCTCTCATAATTATCACTTTTTCCAAGGAAGCAGAATGGTATGTATTCAAATCTCATCCCTATACTTACTAGTTATAAATAAGACTTTTGGCAAATGGTACCTCCTATCAGATGTGCATGAGAGAGCTAAGGAACTAGAGGAATGCACGTTTTCTTAAAAAATGAGTATCTTAATGAATGTGCAAACACTAAAAGTAAGAGAATTGTTTTCCAAAAATCTGGAATCTTCTATGCCTGGGTTCAAATTTAGACTCTGCCACTTACTAATTGTAAGCTTCCTTTTTCTCACCTGTAAAATGGGGAAAATAGCAAGGATTAAAAGAAATAATGTATGTAAAGCTTTTTAGCACTTAGTAGGTGCTCAATGAATAGTAATTTCCTTTCTGGTTGCTTGCCAAGTTCTACTGGACCAAATATTAGTGATTCTATGAGACTAGGTAAAGAAGAGGCTGAGAAAACAAGTTGGCCAAATTAATGATGTTTTTGTTTGTTTCTTGTGTAACTGGTATTTTTGTTTTTCTTTTTAAGAAACTATTTTTTTCTTAAGATGTTTTTTATTTATTATTTTTTATATGTTTATTTATTTACCTTTAGAGGGGAAGGGAAGGAGAGAGGGAGAGAAACATCAATGTACGGTTGCCTTTTGTGCGTCCTCTGCTGGGAACTGGCCTGCAGGGAACTGCTCTGCAACCCAGGCATGTGCCCTGACTGGGAATCGAACCGCGATTGTCTGGTTCGCAGGCCCGCGCTCAGTCCACTGAGCTACACCAGCCAGGGCAATGAAACTATTTTTTAGAATAACTTTAGGTTCATAGAAAAATTGCCAAATTGCTCTCTCTCTCCTTTGTTTTTTGTGGTGGCTCAGAGGTGATCAGCTGCTTCAGGATGAAGCTGAACATCTCTTTCCCAACCACTGGCTGCCAGAAACTCATTGAAGTAGATGATGAACTCAAACCTTGTACCTTTTATGAGACGTGTATGGCCACAGTTGCTGCAGAAATTCTAGGAGAAGAATGGGAGGGTCATGTGGTTTGATTAGTGGTAGAAACGAACAAGGTCTCTTCATGAAGTAGGGTGTCTCGATGCATAGCCATGTCTGCCTGCTGCTGAGCAAGGGGCATTCCTGTTACAGATCACAGAAGACTGGAGAGAGAAGGGACAGATGTGTTCAGGGTTGCACTGCGGATGCCAATCTTCATGTTCTCAACTTGGTCATTGTAAAAAAAGGGGGCGGGGAGGGCAGATATTCCTGGTCTCACTGATACTACTGTGCCTTGTTTCCTGGGTCCCAAAAGAGCTAGCAGAATCCACAAAATTTTAAAAATATTTTATTTATTTATTTTTAGAGACAGGGAAAGGGAGAGAAACATCAATGTGCGAAAGATAGATCAATTGGTTGCCTCTTGCACGCTCCAAACTGGGGACCTGTCCTGCAACCCAGGCATGTGCCCTGACTGGGAATCGAATGGATACCCGCCCTCCTCCCCAGTTTACAGGCTGGCACTCAATACACTGAGCCACACCAGTCAGGGCAAAATCCACAAATTTTTCATTCTCTTTAAAGAAGATGATGTCTGCCAATATGTTGTGAGAAAGCCCCTAAACAAAGAAGGTAAGGAACCTAGGACCAAAGTGCCCAAGATTCAGCATATTGCTATTCCACGTGTCCTGCAACATAAATGGTGTATTGCTCTGAAGAAACAACATACAAAGAAAAATAAGGGAGAGGGTGCACAATACGCTACACTTTTGGCTAAAAGAATGAAGGAGGCCAAAGAAAAACATCAGGAAGAGATTGCCAAGAGACATAGGCTGTCCTCTCTGAGAGCTTCTGCCTTAAAGTCTGAGCCCAGTCAAATATGAGGTCTTCTAAGAGGAGTAATAAATAAAAACAAACACCAAATCTCAAAGAAAAAAAGCCAAGTTAATTTTTAAATGCAGTTACTGGGGACACAGAATCTTTATTTCAAATTCCTATTTTATGAGTCCAGGAGAGTTTACATTGTCCACTTTGCATGTGAAAAAGTGATACCTGTATACCAACTTCTCTCTTTTTAAAAAAATCAGTTTTGTCTTGAATGTTTCATTCTAAGATTTTTCTTATGAAACACAAGTTTATTCAAAGAATATGAGTTAGAGGAAGGATCCTTGAAATCCAAGGCCTGGGCCTGACCTGTGGGCGCAGCAATCTGGCTGCCTCTCCTCCAGAGCGTACACCTCACCCTGGCCTCTGTTGGAACCCTGTCGTTGTCAGGCATGTGTGAGGGGCTTGGTGGAGGAGCAGTTTGGTGTTCCCTGAACCAGGTACTAGGAATTGGTGGCCCTAGTTACGAAGGTGTCCCAACACTTTTTGATCTTCCCAGGCTGATTTTAAAGCAGCATGAAGGGCTGACTGATTTTGAAGAAACAAGGATGGGGCTCTTCACTTGAAAGAGAACAAAACCAATTTCCTATGGATCTTTCTAGGCAAATGATAGTGCCCATATTAAAGAAACAAAATTACAATGAGTCTGAAGCCCCGCTCTTTTTCTGGGCGCTGCACTTTTCCCAGTGGCCTCAGTTTCCTCTTCCCTATGTGGGAGAATGGCACCGTTTCCTCAAGTTGGAGTTTGACTTGGTTGCAGTCTCATATCTGGTGAGATTTTTCATTCCAAAAGTGCCAACATAATGCAGACTCATTTTCAGATCAAGCATAACTACACTTCGAAAAATATAAATATGACATAAAACATCTCAGGTGCAAGCACTTTGGACTGCCTCTTTTAAAATATCTCTAAAGCAAAGAAGGTGCTTGGATGTGCCTGATATCTTCTGGGCTTTGGCCTTCACTTTGCAGGAACATGTAGTACATTTCCCAATATTCTGGTTGGAGGTCAAAGAGTCTGTGGAGTGAATGGAATCTTAATTTTTACTTCACTTCTGGTTTTTGTCATAACTGAAGTGTTAATTCCTAAACCCTTTCCTAGGCCAGGATAAACTTCGAGTAGGCATCATGCATAAAAGAATTATAAAAATCCTTTTTGCAAGAGCATTACATAAACAACAGATGGACTGATTTCTGTCTGACTTTCTGGCTTATTTATAAATTCAGATGACTCAAACCATAACAAAACAGGCCAGTGGAACTGCCTCTTTGACTCAGGTCCCTGTATTTCCTACAGGGCTGTATCCCCTCTTCACTGTCCTTTCTCTGCTGAGGTCTCTAGTAGATGGAGAGTAGGAAGAGTTCCTTGTGAAAGACACTGACTGCAATTCTGCAGAGAGGGCTTTCCTCATCTGCTGTAAAGGTCATATGGCTTTAGCTGATGATACTGAGCCATTTGAGGTCCCTACTGAAGAGAGAGGGTACCCCCTTCACCCCCAGTACCACAAATTCCAACTTCATGTCATGTCTTCCAAAAGCCCTCTTTCACTGCTCTAGTGATCTTTCACCTTTTGGGTTTTTTTTTTTTTGGAACTAGGACTTATCTACTGAGTAATAATATCACTAATTTTCTTTTGTATTTGAGAAATTTAAAAAAATCTAGTTTTCCTCAGATTTTCCTCTGTCCCTACTCCCCAGAGATTATTACTATCTCTGGGGAGTAGGGACAGTTTCTTTTGAGATGCCCATTACAGATTCTGTATGCCCAGAACTGTGCAGTACAGTGGAAAGAGTCAGGCAGCACATTCATTGAACGATTACTAAATGGACCAAAAGATACATTCCAAGTTGAAAGGTCTAGATTGGATTCTGGTCTCTGCTGTACGTAGGTATAACAAATCATTTAATTTCTCTAGGCTTCTGTTTCCTCATGTCTAAAGTGGGGGTGATAATATTTATCCTAAAGAGAGCTAATATTTATTGAGCCCTTACTATGTGCCAACTGCTGTTCTAAGTACTTTAAGTGTATCAGCTCATTTAATGACCACACCAGCCTTAAGATACCAATGCTACTATTAACTCCATTTTATTTTTTTTAATTTTAATTGTTGTTCAAGTACAGTTTTCTGTTTTTTACTCCCATCCCAGCCCACCCACCCATCCCTCCCCACCTCCCTCCCATTTCCACCTCCCATAGTTTTTGTCTATGTGTCCTTTATACTAGTTCCTATAAACCATACTTCTTTTCCCTTGAAATTCCCCTGAAATTCCCTCCCCTCTACCCTCTGGTCACTGTCAGCCTGTTCTCAATTTCAGTGTCTTTGGTTATATTTTGCTTGTTTTTTTTTGTTTTGTTATTTAGGTTCCTGTCAAAGGTGAGATCATATGGTATTTGTCTTTCACCGCCTGGCTTATTTCACTCAGCATAATGCTTTCCAGTTCCATCCATGCTGTTGCAAAGGGTAGGAGCTCCTTCTTTCTTTCTGCTGCATAGAATTCCATTGTATAAATGTACCATAGTTTTTTTATCCATTCATTTACTGTTGGGCACCCAGGTTGCTTTCAGCACCTGACTATTGTAAATTGTGCTGCTATGAACATTGAGGTGCATAGGTTCTTTTGGATTGGTGTTTCAGTGTTCTTAGGATATAATCCTAGTAGTGAAATTGATGGGTCAAAAGGCAGATCCATTTTTAGTTTTCTGAGAAAAATTCCATACTGTTTTCTATAGTGGTTGTACCAGTCTGCAATCACACCAACAGTGCACTAGGGTTCCCTTTTCTCCACATCCTCTCCAACACTTGTTTGCTGCTTTGTTTATGATGGCTATCCTGACTGGTGTAAAGTGGTATATCATTGTGGTTTTAATTTGCATCTCTCTATTAACTCCATTTTAAAGATGGGTACAATGAGGTTCAGGAATGTTCAGCAATATGAAGTAACTTGCTGCAGGTCACACAATAAAGAGGGGAAGAGCTGAGTTTTAACCTAGTGCCAGAAACCAAGGCTTTTAACTACTATGCTACAATGCTTGTGTGGTTTGCGAGTTATGGTGGGTGAGAAGCAAATGAATCAGGGT